CCCCAAAACCCCAAAACCCCAAAACCCCAAAACCCCTTTAGATGCAGTAGTTATAGAATTATCCCTGTTAATAAATCTATCTCTTAGAAATTATTGAGCATCACTGCCACGTTTAACCCTATCATTCCACTAAAACCAAGAACCGTGTATATCCACGCTATAATGTAGCTGAGCTTGGCTGTCCACGTGTTAAGTTCAACGTTGTGTTTGTGGACTGATATGATGTAGAAGGAGCCAGGGCCTGCGATTATAATCCAACACCCAGCTGTAGCTCCAATTATTCCATAAAATACCCCAACGTCTCCTACTACTATTGACAATAACACTACAATTCCAAATATGCTTATGGTCAATAGGTAGTAGAAGAAAGGATGCATATTCAGATATTCCTTCGGATTCGCCTTCGGATGCTCCCCTGGTCCATCACTTTTACTGGAAAGCCTACGCTCTTGAACTTGAACGGGATTAGGACCTCTAAGGTTCATATTCCTCTCAGTGTCTCGTTGGGATCCTCTGCTCGAACTCGGCTGAGAGTCTTGTGAAGGAGTTTGCCTATCAACCTGGTTAGCATCGTTTTGGGCATTTTCTTTAACTTCTTGATCTACAGGATTTTGCTTAGATTCTTCATCTGCTTGTTGCTCTTCCTGATGTTGTCCTATCGATTTTCTAGAGGAGAGCCTTCTTAATTTCTCGATAAAGACTTTTACCTTGAGATTCACATTCTGTTTGGAGTAACTCCCTCTAGTAGCCTCGTCAAAGATAATCAGAATCACTTCTTTACCGATAAAGAAGATGATGGGGATGTGGAGTACGGCAATCACTAGAAAAATTACTTGGAGAATTATTGGTAAAGCTCTCGAGTCTCCTGTCAAATTGTTAAGTAAGTTATCTTCAACCTTCGATCCATACAATCCGAAAGCGATAAGGGGTGTCACAGTGTATGTTATGTAGGCAGTCCAAATAGCAGTCCATCCAGCCTTCAATCCGTTCATAGTTGTCTTGTGCTTTAGTGAACCAAATGCCGTGAACAAAGATGGCTGAAATGAGAAGGAAGCAATCATTGTCGGAATCTTAGCGAAAAACTCTACTTTCAAAGATGTCTGCGTGAGATCTTCACTAGATTCAGGATTGGGATCAGATATAATGTAATGGATGAATAGCAAGAATACAAAGACAGCTATAAGGCCAAGTAAAAAGAATCCAGCCATTTTCAATTTATGTATTTCTTTCAGTATTACTAGATAGAGCATCACCAATGCAAGTAATGTATGTGTGAACCACCTAGAAGTCCAAAAATCACCAGCACCGCTATCGATCTCTAGTATCAAACTTTTTGCCACATCGCCAAAAACAATGAAGAAGATGATAGGGAATCCGAGTTGTGAAAGAGCAATGAGCGAGTTAACAAAATATACACTCCACTTCCCATAAAGATAAATTCCTAAATCAGGGTAAGATGCTTTTCCTGTGATCTCTCTTACTCTTAATAAGAGCCACATAGAGAACATTCCCATACATGCATAAATAGTCATCATTCATTGGAATGTGACATATCCAATCTTTTTATTAGCAGCAGGGATGCCAACAATTCCACCTCCAAGCTTTGTTCCTAATAAGGTCATTGTGCACATGAATACACCAATTCCAGCCATCTTTTGAGGCTGTGGCTTTACTACCACAGGGACCACCTTTTGTCTTTGCACTGGAGCTTCAGAATTAACCTCACTATAACCATTTAAGGACCTCCATTTTTGTTGAGCACTTACCTCACAGCTCTTCCATCAATAACACTCATGATATAAAAAATTATTTATACTGTGTATGTTCAGGACCTTTTCAACTGAAATGGAGGTGCAAGGGGTTTTGGGGTTTTGGGGTTTTGGGGTTTTGGGGTTTTGGGG